GCTTCCTGAGACCCAGAGTGGGAGACTCAGAACTGGCAAGGGCAGACCCACCCCCTGAGGGCCCAGCTGAGGAGCACAGGCAGGATGGGAAGCAGAACAGAGCAGGGGAGAGGCGGAATAGGGGAAGGGTGGGACACTGGGAGGTAACCTATAGACTCAGATGGAGAGACATGCTTGTGGATGGTGCAGGAAGCTAAGGGGTGTGGAAGGATGGCCAGCTTTGAGGATGTGCTTGTGGAGAGAAAAACAGGGTGGGGGAGCCCAAAGAGTGGCCTCTGGCCCACAAAGGGGAGAAGAGAGGCCCACCTGAAGAAGGGGAGGAGGCTGGCAGGGTGGGTTTGAGGACCCCAGGCAAGGAGCCTCCTGAAGCACCTCTACCACCAGCAAGAGGATCCCAAGAGAACAGAGGAGCCCCAGGGTCTGGGTTCAAACAAGGGAATCATGTCAACAACCAGAGAGGGGTGCAGAGAAGGAGAGGGGTGTAGGGCATGCTGGGGCATTCTGGCCCCAGAGCTCCCTGCCTCCTGGCCTCCTTGCTCTCCCAGCTTCCAGGCCTGCGACTTCAGGACATGAAGCCAGACCCCTGGGGAAAGCCGGGAAGGGCTCCTCTACCCATAGGTACTAGTTACGTGATCTACAGACACAGATCTAGCGCTGTCTGCTGAGAAGGCTTAGCAGCGAGACAGACCAGTGCAGTGAGCAGACCCAGCATCGGATCTTGACTTCTAAAAGGGATCAGGGATTTCTGGAAAACTGGGGGCTGTGGGGAAAGCAGAAGCCCCTCCTCCTCCATGTCAGTAGGCGTGAAAGGCAGCCCTGACCCAAACCACAGGGCAATTTAAGAGGCAACTTTCAGAGCTGTAGAGAGTGGTTCACAGCTTGGGTTAGAATGGGGCGGGAGGGGAGAGCAGCGCCCGAGGGAGTCGGAGGTAGATTGGTCCAACAGAGTGGGTGCACGAGGGCTCCGCGGACAGGGAGCTGGCTTCCATCCCGCTCACGTGCCCCAGTGGCCCCGGCGACGGGCTGCGCAGGGCCCAACCAACGGTCCCTTCCCCCTAGATTGTAAACCACTCCTTTCGGAGTGGTCTAACTGGCCACTGGCTCAGCACCGCTCAGAGCCGCCTCCACTGTGGGCTCTGAGCGGTGCTGAGCCAGTGGCCAGTTAGACCACTCCGAATCCGCCCCGCATCTGGGGGCGTGTCTTCGTACTCCGGCGCTGGACCTCGCGGTTCCCCGGGGAAACGGGTCGAGTTGGGGCAGATCCCGTACTCTGGGCAGCAGGCGAGCCCGGTCAATTCCACGCTGACTTGTGGGAGGAGTAAGAAAGCAGGACGCAGCGGGTACCGCACTCCCATCCCCATCGCTGCGCCTGCCTGCACTAAGAACTGAGGTCCTTCACCTGGTGAGGGGTGCACCCCTGTAGCGGCTCTCGTCTGGCGGGTCTGCGGGTTCTCTCCGCGGCCTTTGGGGGGGGCAGGGTGAGGAGGATTTGGGGCGGGACTGCGAGGCCAGGGTCCCTTTCGCTTCCTCTCTTCTCTCCAACCGCCGCCGCCGAGATTC